CCTGCTGAAAATTGAGGTGATTTCCTTTATATTACATGATATGAAACATCTCATCAGAAACGCTTTTGTATTCAGCTTTCAGCATTGGGAAAGTTGTGTATAGCCTACTTCCTAATTTGAGATTTAGAGTGAATTTTTAATGTGGAAGTTTTTACCATAGTTGAACAGAATCCTACATGGTGTCATGCTTCACGTGAGTTAAATATGCTGGCTGTGATACTGCAGGTTTTTTAAATTTGTTTGTTTGTTTGTTCTAATGCATTTTCCTCACTGCCCCCTGCCCCTGGTTTTTGAGCTGTTTGTACTTTAGATAGGCTTTATAAAGTTGTACCTGGACAAAACTGACCTCAAGTATCCTAGCTGTTAAGTGTAGTCTGAATTGGACAGGTGACTTTTATCAGCACATAAAACTTCCACTTGAATTTCTGAATTAAATGTGCTTTTCTGGTCAAGTCCAGGGCGTTGCCCAAAATCCTCTGAACCCTGCTACTGAGCATCGGTTTGACCTCGCGTTGCAGAGAGAGGGCTGCCGCTGCTCAGGCTCCTGATTTCGCTTACGTTAGCAGCACATAGCTCCTGGCAGAAAAGCATCTTGCTCTTGGAATATGTTACCCCTGCAAGGTTTGAGTCTCAAATGTACAAGTTGTTAATTTGGTCAAGAGTTGGAATAAGGGAAGAAAATAACTCTTAACTGTAAGGCTGCTGGGTCTGTGGGCAGTATTTGTCACAGCAGTGGCACAAGGCTGCAAAGCTGTCTGCCCTGGGTAGCTCCATCTATTACTTGTTCGGTCATTTGTGTCTGCTGGCTGTAACATTCAGAAATGTGTCAGAATACCCCAGGGATCAGTAAGGAAGCAATTCCAATTATAATTACCTATCCCCAACACTGCTCTGTCTGAATAGTGAGCAGTAACTTGGCTGGTATCTTTTCTGTAGATGCTGAAGCTGTAATCTCGTTTGGAAGCCCCCAGAAGACCGTTTGATCAAAGCCAACCATCAGATCTCTCCTCCTAAGGAGCCTGGTATTACATGACTGCGAGATGTGCACAGGCGGGTGGCTACTCTGTAATTGCCTGGCTGTGACCCTATAAATATACAGTAATGGCATGTTCTTTCGATAACATGATAATTATGTCGGAAGGTACCATATAATTCAGTGACTGCTTACCATGTCACTTGCCGTTTTTAGATCTCATAACACACTGTCAAGGAGGAAATCTGTCAGGCAGTAACCCTGTAATTTACGTGCGCTTTCATACTCGATAGCTATTATGTAATTGCCAAGTTGCTCCGAGTGTGTTCATTTAAGGGAATGCTGTCAAGGGCAGGAGGCTTCAGTCTGACCCTTGAAACTGGGTTCCGTGGCTTCCTCCACCATCCATCTCCGAGCTGGTAAAAGCAGACGCTTAAAGGCAGGAGCAATGTGAAGGGCAGGCTTGCGTTGGGTTTCTAACAAACGCATCGCATGGGGTTTATTTTTCTTAGATGTGGCTGCGTCAGGGTAAGCTGATCAGCTGGCTACATTTTCCATATGGGTTTTGAAATGTAGGTGGTTGGGTCTTGACAGCAAACTGTATAGCTGGTGATGGACTTAAAGGGCGCTTGCACATTGCACAGTTTGAAGCTAGCTTCACTGGAGCATCTTAAAATGATTTACAGTGGTAGGTGTATGTTATTCTCATTTTATATCTTCGAAGAAGGGGAACAGATTGGTCTAGCCAAGGTGATATACGAGTTGATGACAGTTGGATATAACCCAGGTTTTACTTGCTTTTAACTACTCTACCATGGCTGTTAGACCTCACTTTGCCTGTTCGCTTTTAAAAATGTTTTTTCAATTAGAACTGACTATTAAAGAGAATAGTCATATAAAATGGATATATCTGGTAAGGTTTCTTCAGTACCCATTGGTAAATATCCTTGCACAAGATGTAAGGACTGGAGGGAAAGAAAAAAAAAAATGTTTCACAGCCCAAGTCTTATAACTCCAGTTGTTACAAGAGCTTGTTGGCCACGGTTTGGTGTAGTCATCGCTCCTCGAAGACCTGCCTAACTAAGGGTCTCTTGTGTAGCAGCAAAATCGGAGCATCCGTCTCGGCAGCTGTCCCTCTCGCCCGCTGGGGCTCGGGGGTCCCTGGCGCAGCAGCGCAGGGTGTGGGTCGGGCTTCCATCCTCAGAGGAGGGCTCTCTCCCACTGCAGTGAAACCCTGGGACCTTTAACTCCAGACTTCAGTTCTCCTGTTTCATGTGATTTTGTCCTAAAGGCATTTGCCTATTCAAATAATCAGTTAACAATACAAAAACTGTGGCAAACCTTGAGTGATTCCTTTCAAGGGAAAAAATGAAAAGAAAAAAAAAAGAAAAAAATGGGGGGGAAAAAAAAAGAAAAAATGAAATTACAATGCTATTTTAAGGCCATATTTTAAACCAAGATAATCTTTGGAAGTAGGATACTGAGTAGCAATTGTCAGCTGGAGAGCTGAGTGTCCAGGATATCCCAGCATGAAATTCAGATGGCTTTCTGGCAGCCTTTGCCTTGAAGTAGAAGATGCAGAATAAGTCTGGCAACCTTCAGGCTGAGCACTTGTAAACAACAGATGTTCATAACTGGAATCTTTTGGAAGAGAAGGGCAGGGAGCAGCGTGTATGTCCATGCTTGTAATTCTCAAAACCTGCAGTGAACACTGAGTTGTGTCAGGAAGGCTTCAAGGGGAAATCAAACATTGATTTGAATGAGCAGCTTGCAGAGAAGTTCAAGTTTAGTTTTCTTCAAAGTGAAATGATTTCTTTAAAGGAGAGATGATACAGGCTGTGAGGGACGTGTCGACAAAAGCATTTGGGTCACGTGGACTTCAGTTACATTCTTCTTGTTACTATTTTAATTGATAAATATTGTCATAGGCTATTTTGACCTGTGATTCTTTTTGATGGAGCCGAGTCCTGAACATTTTTTTCTGAGTCTTTCGAATAACAACATTTGGGAGATTTTTCTAAGCATGAAATGTTCATTTATTCAGTGGCCTCATTGAACCTGGAGATCTAGGGATACATGACCAGCGAAAAGTGATGTAAAGCCCTGGGGAGGATCTCTGTGGTGTTTTTCATTGTATCAGCGATCCCAGTATCGCACTGCGTTGGCTGGTATGATGGTAGCTACCCTTGCGGAGCACGCTGCAGAGGGCAAAATTCAGGCAGGTTTGAAGTATATACAGAAACAATTACGGCTCTGCTCTGCCACTTGGCCTAGCTCTAGCTCTGATGGTTGGTGGGGAGGACTTGACAATTGCATGGATCTGAAAATAACTTTTTCATCTCTCCCTTCACCTCATATCTAATTTTAGCAGGTAGTTCAGGTGAGCTGGGCGAGCGGGCAGCGCTGCGGGTGTGCACCCTGTAGGCTCAGAGAGCCGAGCCCGCGGGTCAGCGTTGGGATGGGAAGGGTACGGCGTGCAGGGTACGCCGCAGGGTGGGGAATAAATCAGTTCCTCGGTTCCCAGCGTCTCGATCACTGTTTTGGGAGGTACCCGGTCTGGAAATGTCTGCACACCTCTAGGAAGCAAGTCTCGAATATTTGGGGGGGGGGGGGGCAGGGAGGTGGAACAGGAAGCTTCAGCTTTTGTATGTGCCACCAGGAGACTTGCTTTAAAAACCTCGGTTCGAAGGAAGGGCGGTCAGAGAAGTTTTCTGTTCACACGGATGATGTGACGTGCCTATGTTAATTTAAATGTTTCTCTCTTTCTATTTAGTAATACTTTCATTCTCATCTGACTCATTCCTTCGTCTTGCACTCCTTATGGAAATGCAATATTCCTGTTCCTGGTTTGTGGGTGTGGGATTTTTTGTTTTGTTTTGTTTTTAATCTAGTGGCGGGGAGAAGGTTGGTTTTTAAGGTAATTTTTCTGCTCTTGCTCTGAATGGGGTTACCTTGCAGTGCCCAGCTAGGTGTTGCTGGCCTTTGTCGCTCTCTCCTGCTTGCCTTAAAGCAGATAAATCCTGGACTGTCTGCGAGTTCCTCGTACGAATGAGTAATTTTAATTAAGACGTTTCGGATACTTGGGACTCAGTCTTCCCTTCTGATCTCTTGAGACTGACTGAAACCTTTGAAGTGGAAGTTGCGCAGGACCCGATCAAGATAACACCCGAGAAACCACAGAGCTTCATACTTTGTGGTTCCTTAAAAATCTGTGCACAACTTCCTCTTCCTGCTCCCAAACACCCCCGATTGCTGTGATCTGGTGTAATTTAGGCTAACCTAAATAAACTCTCCAGATTCACTATCATCACACAATCTTTAAACAAGTGTAAATAGTGCTTGAAATAAACCTGGATCTTGGCATCTTCTTCCGCCTCCTCCTCCTCCTCTCCTTTGCGGGGGAAGTTTGAGTCAAACAGTTGTTGCGAATGTGAAATCGCCAGCACTTTGGGAAATTTCATGTCCAGGTCCTAAAGTTTTGGGTTGATCTCATCAATTTTACTTCTTAAGGGTGAATACTGACTCCAGTCATTCTGCAGAATCTGTGGAAATTGAGCTCGCTCTCGATTATACCCAGCGGTGCCTGTTGCATATTTTTCTTCCCTTTTTCATCCCTCCTCTGCGGTGACATGAAACTGGAAGCAGAGTGTATTTGCCAGCTCCTTTGAGAATTGAAATGGTTAATGAAAATCGCAATTTGCTTCTCTGCCATCTGCTTGCGGTTATGATAGAAAAGGGTCTGTTGTAAACAGTTGTATAACTTCTGCTCTGTGTTGTGAAAACTGTTGCCATGTTCCACCCCAGAAAATGCTGCGTTTTTAGAGGTGCTTTAACAGTTAATGTGTGTGTAGTCTTAAAGGCTACTTGGAAGGTTTGCAGCAAGTAATTGCCTCTTTCCTTTTCTGTTTCATTTCTGTCTTAAGGCCTGCCTTTATCTGCCTTTTGCCAGTGCTAGGAAAATTGTCACTAGCAAATAATGAAGGAGAGTTTTTGTCTTGCTTCCTGTAAAAACCTTGCCATGAAAACGCTGAACCTGTACAAAAGCAAGACGGACCATTGTAACAAGGTCCTGAAGGGGTCAGTGAAACCAACAGACACCAAGAAATTAAAGGAATTGAAACGAAAAATCTTGAAGCGCCCAGAGCTGTGGTTGCACGAGGTTGAGCTCAGGGTGCGGCGCTCACTGCGCAGACCCGAAGGTGACAATCCCGGTCGCGGATTGGAAGCATGCGGGGTTGTGATTATTTTTTCCTGCAGGATGGCCTTTCATGTCTAACCACACGGAGTGTGTCAACAACCCATCTGGCGCCATTAGACACCAGCAATTTTACTCACCATGCTTTTCATGGGCTCTTGGTATTTGTGCTATGTGCTGCCTTAGAATAGCTTTGGGTGTTGTGGTAGGGCAGCCTGGACAGCTGGGAATTGTCCAGTTAACTATTGCATCTCTTCTGGTTCCCATTTTGTGCTTCGGTTTTCTTTGGAAAGCGAGGCACTCGTACAGTGCTGTTCCCTGGTCCCTTGCGTGCGCTCTTGTCGGTAGTCATGGTCCTGGTTGCTCACAGCTCTTCCAAGCTGCTCGAGGTGGGCTTGGGCTGACGCCTCAGTGGGGCGTCCATGAACAGCCAGGTGCTCTTAGCGGAGCGGGCAGTAAAGATGCATGACGAGATGGAGAATGCGATGGGAGATGTTAAGGATCAAACCAGCTGAGTGGTGTTGGGTTGGCAGCTCGTGCAGATGAATGGTACAAAGCCCGGGAAGGCAAGTTAGCAGGCTGCAGGCAGCTGGACTTCTGGCTGCGTAGGGACGCCTGCGGCTGCGCTGGTTGTAGGAGTGAAGCAGCGGAGCGATGAAGCAGTGACGGGCTGTTAAGGGTTTGGAGGCAGGATTTCAAACAGCTAGAACAAGATCGACTGGTGGAGAGTCTGAGCTTTTTGTTCCTAAATTTCATTCCCAAACTTTTTACGGTAGTTAATTAATTTTCACTTGCTGTAGCTCTTCCCGCCTCAGAGGGCAAATACTAAGTCAGTGTGTGAAGTACTTTGATATCATTGGTGTAAAGGACCAACTTTTAACATCTTTTAATACTGTCCTTTAGAAACTTCTCTTTACAACCATCCACAATACTGTCTTACTTGGTTTGCTTCCTGTCTTCTACCTGAACCAGTTTGGCTGTTGGTAAAGACGGTGTGTACGCCTCCGGCCCAGCGCTGCTCCTTGGAGGAGCCCTTTCTGGAGATGCCTTTCCTCCTCCTGCCCTCTCCTTAGTGGAAGAAAGCTGGGTGGTGTTTCTTGTCTCGCCTAAATAAAAAAAAACCCAAAAAACGTAATGTGTATATGGCCTTCTGGTGCGGTGGCAGGTTTTGTCTCTGTTTCAGTGGGAGTCGGAGCATGCAGCTTCTCACCTGCACGCGTGCCCTTCGAGGGCTGGCCGCGGCGTGGCCGGTACCCGTAGAGTCACAGTTCTGTTCGCCGGGTCTCGCGGTTACTGATTAGCTCTTGGGCATAGTAACAAAACAAATGGTGTGCTGCAAACACCGATTGCAGATCGGGGGGCAACTATTTGAGATAGATATATATATATAGCTTAACATCTGGCAGTTTCAACCTTGTACAGTTCTGCATTTTGATCATTCCATCTGGTTTTGCGCGTCAGCAGTATCTGCAATACAGGACACTAGAATCCGATGGAAAATATTGTCTCTGAATAAAATCTATGCCTTCTCACATTTTCTTTTCTTTTTTTTTTTTTTTAACTCAAAACACCAGGAGAACCAAAAGCCCAGAATCCTTTTCATACCCCCTCCCACTATACACACACACGCTCCAAACCTTGAAGCAGTCCAGATCACAAGCTGCAGTCATTTCCTGAGCTTTTCATTTTTTTTAAGGAAAAGAAACAAAGCAGCAAGATCAGCTGTTCTGAAACTATTCTTCTTTATCTAAAATTATCCATATTGCACTACAAATCCAACCGTTGATGTCATGAGAAGGGTAATGAAAGTCTGAGGCAGCTTAATTTTCATGTTTTCACAATGTCGGGCGTTTCTTGCTGCAGAGGTTGCTGTCCTTTTAAGTGCAGAATATTCCCTTTTTCAATGGAAATTAAACCGCATTTCTTTTAAGAGGAAAGAAATCTGATACAATCATCTACAATAATCAAGAAGAGCTTTGGCTTTCCACCAGAGATCTGACTTACAATAATATTTATTTAGAAAAGAGTACTGTAAACAAATGATGAACAGATCTAGAGAGAAGTAAATGATGTAGTTAAGCCTACACCTAGATCTGCTAGTTCCAAACACTGCTGCAGGGCTGCTGGAGGACCATGCAAAATCACTGCTAACGTCCTTGCTTTCATCTAGTATGAAATGGTGCCTTAAGAAATTACTCCTTTCAGTAGATGAAATGAACCTCAGTTTATTTGGATCAACTTTTCATCTCCCCTTTTGCTCTTTGTATTGCTTATTTGCAGGGTGCAGAGTGAATCAGCCATAATAAGGTGGAGAAAGTTCAAAGATGCGAAAATAAAGCTCATTGTATGAATGTTAGAATCATAGAGTCATTTAGGTTGGCAAAGACCTTTAAGATCATCAAGTCCAAGCGTTAACCTAGCACTGCCAAGTCCACCACCAAACCATGTCCCTCAGCACCGCATCTACACGTCTTTAATGAACGTTGCTTTCTCTTTTGCTCAGCACAGATACAGATGCTTGCACATAATTGTTTTTGTACATGAAACATAACATTTTGTTTCCTATGCAGATGCTATTTAGCTAACTGGATGCTTGAAATCTTTTTATTGTGGTTACGGCACAAATGCCTGAGACAGCACTGTGAAACCTATTGTCAGAGACTGGAGCCATCGCTCTCCCTCAGGCACTATAATTTATGCACAAAATCTTGGATTCAAAAGAAAAAATTAGAGCCTACATTTGGCATACTGTAGCTTGCAGTTGTCTGATCTGTTTGGGGGACAAAAGCCCATGGCCATGTGAATGTAGCCGTGTCATTGAGGGCGTATTTTCTGTATGTGCAGTAGCCATTTTATAGCCTTCCTCTGCTCTCCTCTCCCTCAACAAATCCAGACGTCCCGTAACTGGGTTTCTAGCATTTATAGATAATACAATATCACGAACAGAATAATTCTGTCCACTTCAGGTGAAGTCCTATCCAATTCTTGTTTCTTTTTTGTGTCCTTTGTAGGAAGGATCAGAATGTGCTATCACCCGTCAATTGCTGGAATCTCCTGCTAAATCAAGTGAAGCGGGAGAGCAGGGATCACACCACGCTAAGCGACATCTATCTCAACAACATCATCCCGCGCTTTGTCCAGGTCAGCGAAGATTCGGGGCGCCTGTTCAAGAAGGTAACAGAGTGCTACAATGCACGTATTTTTCTTTGGCTCTTCTGAAATAGAAAGTTTTAGCTGTTACTTCTGGTGGATCAATTTATTGTTCGCTGTGTCTAACCCATGGGGCTTTTTTCCTCTTTGTGGATAACTGTGCTTGACTTACCTTTGATTTCTCTAGTAATTTTCTTCTTCTAGTATTTTAGGGTTTTCCCAAAAGTGGTCAGTTGAGATTTGTTGGTCTAAATTCAGGCCGTGTTTTTTCCTCTTAACCTACTCACAGTTTTGTCTGCATTTCGGAACTCTTATTAAAAAAGCAGAAACCCTCCAGGTCTTCAACTCTGAATATAGTCAAGAACAACTCTCTAAAGACAAATTTATATCTGCCACGGAGGAGAAACTACTGATAAAAGAAAAATTAGGGAGAGTTTCTATCATGCTAGATAGTAAAAGGATGTATTGTCCTTCTCTGGAAAACAGAGAAAATGCAGCTGAGGTCTCTTTTGTTAGCCTTGTCCCCTCTCTCTCCCCTTGATTTCCACCTGGAAAAATAGGTGGGACAGTGTGGAAGGGTATTTTTCTATTAAGAATCTGTTCTTCCAGTTGAAGAAACATGATACGGAGCTTTGAAACTCCTATTAAACGGTAATGCCTGGTCTCTTCAGAGATTTGTCAATCGCTGTAACATCTGCTAGTTAACATGTTAAAAACATTGCAATTCTAACTTTGAAAGCAATTTCTCTTCCCCCACTCCCCACCTCCTTGCAATGCGTCACAATCTTGGAGAGTTATCTCTACTATTGCAAGGCCTAGAGATTGCAGAAGGACTCGAGCTTTCTGAAGAATACTTTTGTGGAGACTCATCCTAAATCACATTGCCTCTGAGAGAGAAATGGAAGAGGAACACTTTCAATAAAAAAAAACTCCTAGCGTACTTTCATGTCTGTCGTCTTGCCTTCAGTGGTGTCAGTTGTTACGCTATGATTCTATGATTAAAAAAGAGTCGTGGGCAGCGTGTGACTTAAAAATTAAAATCCGTGTAGGTGCAGTGGGCAGTAATTGGAGGCCTCGTTGGCTTTTCGCTCTGGTCTTGACAGTCTTTTGAAATGTATTGAGGAAAGCGTTCAGATACTTCTTAAAGTCTCTGTATCGCTTTAACCGAGAGACAGTCTATACAACGCAGTCCGTTCAGACTGCTAGAAAATGAGCAACGCTCAATATCGCGCGTGATATTTCCTGTCAAGGTGCGCTTGAAGGAGCAGCATCTTGTGTGTTACCTGGAGAGCAGGATGCATTTGCTCTGTGACAGCAGGTATTGTGGGTGTTGGCAGCTGATTTCTATAGGGGAATGAAAGTAAGCGCAAGTGCGCTGTTGTGTTCCTTGTCCTCTGCGTGTTTCTTGAGTTTTTAACGGATAGCGATGGAGTATGAAAAATATATTCGAGTGTTACATTCTGTTTCTCTTGTACTTCTGTTCTTGAGACTTTGCCCAAGCAGAGGAGGAACCTTCTCTTTTTTCAAGTAACGTCACACTAAGGCCTTTTTGACCTTTTAAAACTTCCCGGTAATTACATTATGGTTCATTAGATACTTACATGGGATTATTGAATGGCAGTTACTCTTCAATTCCTCTAATCCTTCCAAAGGATAAGTAATCTCCCCACTGAATTTCAACAAGGGCTGTGCTTGAGCAAGGTGGCTGAGAAAATGCCTTGGCAAAGTAGTGCATGGAAACTGCTATTATCCCAGTTTGGCTGGAAACTAGCATCTTAATTTTCAGCCCCTTGTATAAGCATGGCTTTGCCCTGTTTTATTTTGGGCAGTAGGACTTGAATAAAAACAAACAAATAACCGACCACCAACAAAATACCCCTCTGGTTTCTTTCTCACAGACCAAACACAAACTCCGTATTAATTTGTGCAAACAAAATTCCAACTACTTGTTGTCCGACTGGTTGCCAGGTATACCAAATTGGCTGAAGGCCAAACCAGGTATTAGATTACTATTCTGCTTGTGCTGGGTGGTTAAAAACAAAAATTGCATCCTGTCTTGCCTAAAGAGTCACATAGTTGAGTAATAGCAGCTGATAAATAGAGAAATTTGGCTGAATTTGGATCTGCCGCTACTTGTGCTTTTTCACTAGAATCGCTTACCTTCCGGAGCCACAAGAAGCAACATGAATTGGTACAAAAGCTACTGTAGGCTAGAAAACAGATGTGGTGTGGGGTTAAAATATCGCAAATCAGCTTTATATTCTATGAATTTTAAAAAATGCTATCTATTTGTAAAAGCCCTATGTAGCATGCTTGTCGTTCTCAGTATATCCCAAGAGCAATACAGATGGTGTTCAGAATCTCTCTGGACCATAAGCAGACAAACGGCACCGCTTCCTGGATGAGAAAACAGCGACACGTGGATGAAGTCACTTCTCCAGGGTTGCTCAGCAAGTTGCTGGCAAAGCCAGGATGATTTATCTGTAGGTAGTGAAGGGGGATAATTTGGTGACTCAGCAAGATATTTAGGAGTGGCATATATTTTTGTGCCTCTAACCGGAAGTTAAGACCATGCTAGCCCAAAGGCAAATTAGTTGTTTTGATGAGAAAATCTAAAAGAACCTTCTCTTCCCTCTCCCCTTAGCTTCTCCCATCCTTTTTTAAACTTTTGAGACGTCCCTTCCCATTTTTTAATGGAGAACAGCTACCACAGTATGTGACAGCTCAGAAAACTGAGCGCTTTTTAGCAGCCTTGAAACAGATGTAGTTTATACAGGAGCTACATGGAAAATAAAGCTCTGTGCCACGCTGCAAAACTTCCCATGAGGCTCTGGAAGGCAAATTCAGAGGTCCCAATCAAAAACCAAATGCGAACGAGCTCTGAATGGCACAGCCGAATTAGCGCAGTGCTACGTCTGAGCAAAGTTTTGTAGCTTCTCCACAGATCTAATTAGCCAGGCTACCTCAGTGAAGCGACTGGCTCTGTTACTTCCGAGACCGGAGTTTCCTGCCCCTCTTGTGCCGTGCGGTCATTCCAGCTCGTTCATTGATTCTGCGCTATCTCCTGTCTGGTCTACCGCGTGCAGTACAGTCGAGCTAAAATGCACTCAGTTTAATGAAATGCAGCCTGCAGGAGGAAGAGCCTTAGCTGGGATGCTGCTCGGGCGCTCTGGTTTGGCTTAACGCAAGAGCTGGATTTTTACTGTTTTCCAATGGAAATTGTAGCTGTTGGAATTGCGCTGCCAATCTTGCTGCTGGTTTGGGAGCTCTCTGTCCTTGTCTCATGCTACACAGGGAATCTGTGTTAAAAAACAAGGATGCTTTATTTTTTGAAAGTCTGAGGAGCATTATCTTTTTACACTTCTGTGTGGAAAATAACCTTCTAAAAAAAGTTACACATGCCTGATTGTAGGTGCTCTAGTAACTTACACTTAGGAACTACTCACTGGGTTGTAAATAACGCTATGAAATAGGGAGAGGATGGCAATATAGAGATCCTCATTTGCTGGAGATAGTTGAAATAAAATCCTGAGGCATTAGATTCTTTTCTTGGGCCACATATAATTTAGGGCTTTCTCGAACCAGTGCTTTGTGTCCTGCTGGGATTGAGCAGGTGAGCTGGGAAGGACAGGCAGGGTGAAAAGGGTGTTCTTACGATCCCTTTTGTTGCTAAACTCGAGTTGCTGTATCTTGCAGTGTCTGAAGTGGTGAGCTTTTTCAAATGAGAGAGATCTAAGTGCAGCGTGCAGCTCTAATCCAGCCTTAAGGCTGCAAGGGCCTGGATGGGTGTGATAAGGGCTGCGCTGGGAAGGAAGCACATCCTCAAGGGAAGCGGGCTGGGAGCTGGCCGTGTTGCAGCCGGAGCAGCACAGAGCCCGCGCTGGGCAAGCCAGGTCTCCCTCTGTCCGGAAGAGCATCGGTAGCACTGGCCAGGTGGGGTTTGTCTCTTCCAGCGACTGCCGTGGAGAATCCTCAGGCTGAGACAATTCCCTCTTGGACCCCTCGGACCAGTTGTATGAAGGGCGCACCAGTGCTGACGGTCAAGCTTGGACGGGTCCGTCTTGAAATCAGGGAACTGCTGAAATTCCAGCGGTGGTGCCTGCATTGCACACAGGTTTTCAGAGGGTTTGTGTTCGCAGTGTTCGGATTCGCAGTGTCATGGGAAGCCTGCACGGTCTGTGGCTCTGTCTCATGCAGTTTTTCCGTTCATGTCTTACGATGAAGAGATCCAGGGCTGTGTTATGATGTGGAGGGTCTTACTTGTTTGACTGTTGGATGGAAGCTTGCCAGCCACTTCAAAGGTATCTTTGCTGATAAGAGAGCCGTGTTTGCTGCCAAAGCAAGCACTGAAGTGGTGCTGGATGTACAGTGTGTGTCAGCCCCGTTTCTTCCTGCCTCTCGGATTTGTTTACTTCCTCGGTTAGCTCTCCCTGCAAAACCTTTACATGTCTGAGCGCTGGGTGTTTGCACCAAACGTGCTTATTATCTTATTGGAAACTTGCAACCTAAGGTGTAGGTATTCTTTAACACTGTACTCTCTCCGTGCCCTTTGTTTTGGTTTCTCCTGAGGAAACACTTTCACGTTTCAGTAAAAGATGTCAATAAGGCGCTCGCTGCTGTAGCAGTCTTGCAGATGAATCCCGGCGGCGTCGGTGGGGATCTGGCATTTGGCTTCAGCGGTGCCGCTGGCCCCAGGAATGGTGTCGGTGCAATTCTGTGCTACTGCAAAAGGAAAGGAAGATAAATAGTGAAATAAAAAACAGCTCTCTCGAGCAAGTAAAACTGGGGGGGAACTGGTGGAATTGTCCTAATAATAAATTGTTACACCTTGGGAAGGAGGTAATATTTTCTTATTTGTCCAACAGTTAATGATTTAGCCCCGGGTTTCGTACAAGGTTGGAGTTTAAAGCCCGTGTGCCACCCGGCGTTGCTATTCCGGTCACCTCTCCCTCTCCTGGAAGACCGTCCTGCTTTGATGTCAGCGCCTGTTCTCGCACACGCTCCTTTTCATTCCTCCATCTGCT